GATATGTTCTATGATGTTGAGATTATATTTTAGTCATAGCAGATCAAAGCATGATCATCATCCAAGGAAATGGCAATGGATAACCAAAAACAAATTGCTGAAGTATTCAACAATTCTTGCTAGAGAACAAGTCTCATCCCTAAGTTACTCTTTCTTCCCTCTCGTATGCCAAATCCGAATGAAACCAAGTGAAGAGACTTGCAATTAAAAACCAAGACATTTGAATTCGAAATTCAAACATTATACCACAATAAAGAGTGAAAGAGACAAGTCTAGCATAGAAAAATTAACCACAAAACTAAATTTGACTACTTTATTAATATATGGCCCACAATTCTCCTAAACTAGCACTATCCTCAGCAAGAACTCTAGTCCAATTAATATGTGACAGTGGTTAAGTAATCCACCCCACGGGTTCAATGTTTCCTCTTACGGCTAAACATTCTATCCATGCATTTTGCTTTATTGTTTCCTCTTTCATATGATGTCGTTGAAGGATATAAACGAGTTTTTAATTTAGACCAAAACCTGCCATTTATACATTTGTCATTGATGCTCTGCAAAAGAATGTTATCATTTTGCATGAAAACCACAAGTCATTGATTAACTATACACATCTGCCTCCACGCTTTTTTTTTTACATTGTCATTTTATTTTAATATAATTGACGTGATTTACATATGCAAAGTATCAATTATTTTACAATTTTAAGATTTTATTACTTTATGATATTTTTTTATTGTTTGCTTTGGTTAACGTTTTGCTTGCGATTGTCTTTTAATTAATATAGTAGATAAGGATTTTATTGTGGTATTATAAAATTTCTTTATAGAATAAGATTATATTTTATTGTATAATTAAAGCCACTCGGGTCTTTTGAAAAATTGGATATAATGAAATAAAAATTGGAGTATTCTCAATTATGTATCTAAATAGGTGATATTCTACGTAATCAACAAGCATTTGATGTCTAGATTTTTGGCATTCATGATTAAATCAACATGAATTAGAAGGTTTTCAGTGATTTTTGTATTCATCTTTCCCATGAGGAGACGATGCTTCAACGAAAAAATAAGCTCGAATGCTCCCAAAATCCACTCAAACGTGGACGCGCAGCAGGTCAGAAAAACTCAAATTTCGGGCAATCCTAACCTCATCTCTGACCACGCGTCTGACCACCATGTTCAATACTGGTGGTGCCCCAACACTTTTTGGGTAGAATGTAGCCCCAGTTAATCTACGCACAATTCCATCTACTGATTCATCGGCTGAGATCCCTAAGTTGCCAAATCAAATTCGAAAGTCATAGGCTACTGCCCTTTCAAGCAAAAACGTTATATCTCAGGCCGAGCGAAGTCAGAAAAAGTCATTTGCACCGGCTTTTTAAGCTCCACAAGACACCACTGATTACAAGTTGGTCTCTAAAGACCCATATATACATAATGGTGAGCTGACAGTCTTATTTACAGAAGAGGAGAAGGAGCATCTTTCTTCACCATATAAGTTCACACTTGTTGGCAAATTCTCTCATCGTAAGCCTTCTATGATTAAGGTA